CCTCCTGTCTTCTGCCTATTGCTACTGTCTCTAAACCATACACCGTGGCTGGTCTGACCACCGTCCTGTAAACCTTTCCCTTCTACACTCTCCTATCACAGATCACTCCTGACACTTTTCTCCAGTTGTTCCATCCTGCCTGTACTCTATTCTTCACTCTCTTCCACAGTCTCTGCTGCTCTGAACAGTTGATCCTAAGTACCTAAACTCCTGCACCTTCACCACCTTCACCACCTCTGCTCCTTGTAGCCTCACTATTTCACTGTTCTCCCTGCTAGTTCTCTACTTTCCCCTTTTCCATTGTACCTACATTCAGAGTTCCAAACTTCAGACCAACACTTCTATACTTCCTCTTTTCCACTTACTTTCTTTTACTCTTAACCAAACGCCCTCCTCTTCTTCTCTGTCTTTGAACAACAGTAGCCCAATTTCCATCAGTGCCCTGTAGGCCCCGACTGATCCAGTATGGAAAACGTTTTAATTCGCATTCTTTTACACTGGATGCCCTTCCTGATGTAACCCTCGACATTTTTCCGGGCTTGGGACCAGCACTATAAAACACTGATTCGTGTGCCCTAGTGGCTGGTTTAACAACAATTACCATACAGTAAGTATGGTTAGAATAATTAAAGTCATTATTAAAGTATGGTTGAGATAGAAAGAATGAGAGCAAAAGAGACCCGAGCTCTCTGTCACGTGACAAATGAAACGAATCTGCGAGAACGAAGCGAAACATTAGTTCACAGAGAGTGATTCGTTCATAGTGATTCGTTCACAGCGAAAGATTAGTTCACAGCGAAAGATTAGTTCACGGCGAAAGATTCGTTCAAAGCGAAAGATTAGTTCACAGCGAAAGATTAGTTCACAGCGAAAGATTAGTTCACGGCGAAAGATTCGTTCAAAGCGAAAGATTAGTTCAGGGTGAAAGATTAGTTCATAGTGAAAGATTCGTTCACAGCGAAAGATTAGTTCAGGGTGAAAGATAAGTTCAGGGTGAAAGATTAGTTCATAGTGAAAGATTCGTTCGCAGAGTGTGATTAGTTTGCAGTGAGTGATTTGTGAGTTCAATATGAACAAATCTTTCATATGATTTGGGAGTCACGAATCACAAATCTGATCTGCGACTGCATGCGCATCCATCTCACCGATATTGTCATTAACCACATAATTCCAACCGCTAAATAATGGTGTTAACAGGGCGTTTAAAGTTAAATTGCGAGCTGCCTGTGAGCATTGTATGACAGAAGGAGAACACACATTCACCAAGACAGGGAGGCAACGCCGGGTGAGTTACGCTACTGTCTGCTAATGGATCGTGGATGCCTGGGCTAAGGTATCAGATTCAAATGTTGTTCGAGCTTTCACGAAGGCCAGAATCATCACTGAACAACCAATTAACAACAACGAGACTGACTCGGATATTGATGAGAGTGATCCAGATATGTTTGATTGTTACGCTTAATTGTTTCGCTGACTGTTTTGTTTCGCTTCGCTTAATGCGCCTTGTAAGCCGGTGCGCCTCATATATGAAAATATTCCCGTTCATTGATAGTGTGCCTTATAATGCGGTGCGCCTTATGGTCCAAAAAATACGTTACAATAAATAATTACTAGTTTTCAGCTCAATTAAGTGAAATTTGATAATTTTCCACTGCACACCCAATGATCTCTCATGGCGCACTAGTGTGTGTCACTGCACGGTGGTTGGGAAACTGGTTTAGGTCATTAGTGTGCTTTTGGATGTTGCTTGGTAGAACCGGTTTAGTGGTCTCTCCTGTCCCTGTCAGTCAACAGCGGTGGACTTACTGCTCGTAAAATTTATATTCACACGATATAAATCTTTCAGTGATTAACCCGGGAATCATCTGATCATACCATACTTTAAGCGCTTAATTAAAAGAGGCTGCAGCTGATATATATGAGCAAGGCTAAACCAATGGGGAGTGTTGAGATTAACGACAACCTAAAATTCACCACCAACTCATTTGGGACAACGTAGTTGTGCATCACGCACTGCGCTGGCTTCAGTTGGTGTCACAGACACGGTGTGTTGGGATGGATGTTAATCACCGCATTAGGTCTTAGGACTTCAGCAAAAAATAAATAAATAAAAATCCTAATGGTGTCCATAATTCCTCAACCTTTATGTGCTCATCCCAAGGCCGGATGGGGTGGGTTTGAGTCAGAAAAGGGCATCCAAAGTAAAAACTGTGCCAGTATCAATAAGTGGATTGTCCACTGTGGTGACCCTCCAAGAAAAGAAAACCCCCCTAAATGGATTTTTCTTGTCCACATTCAACACAACAGTAATTTAGCAGCAGTTAGTGTTGTGTGAGAGAGAGAGAAAAATTCATCCCAGTCCTACAGCGCTCATGTTGGCCAGAGGTGAATGGTGTGTTTGTTCACTATTTCCCTGGGCTTTAGATAGCTTCAGTTTACATCCATTCACATACACATTTACATGCAATACACACACACACACACACTGTGCTTTTCCGATTACACTCTGTCATCTACATCTACACACTGCTCTAATACCTTGTCAGGAACAGGTCCAAAACATTTAGACTTACAGATTTGGGAGAGTTTCATCTGCTGCCTGGTTGGATGAGGACCAGCTCTACCTACTGGACTAAATATATGAAATGACACGTTCATGCATGTTGAGTAATGACCTAAACACAAAGGTGTGTGTGTGTGGGGGGGGGCGGGGGGGTGTTTAATGAGAAGGCAACACATTGTAAAATCAGGACAGGGGACAAAGTAAATAGCCTCTATTTGTCAGTCTGTTATACAACACTGACCTTCATCTTTTATGCTGGGTCTAATTGACTGCTTTGTAATAAGGTCTTGTCTCTACACAAGCAGCAAGCACAATTTACACCTTGAATTATGGCAGGCTTATGGCCCCGACCACACCGCCAGTTCCGGACACCTTGCCAAAAGCCCCGTAGTGCTGCAGTGGATGATAAAGTGTGAGGCTGGTTCTGTCAAGTGCATAGTTTCTCTCCATCACAGTCACTCTGTTCCTGTGTGCTGTGTGTGTTATCAATATGGAGTTAGAGAGAAAAGGGAGAGACAACGCTGCACCCTCCCTTTTCGCGGGCACTATTACAATGATGCATTTCATGCATCATTGCCTGTTTAATGCAGATGTTGTAAGTCTTTTTAACTAAATAGGATTGTCATTTACACTGTATTCTATTGAGGTATACCTTTAGCTAGGTATACGTTTATTGTGATTATTAAGAGGCTTCATAAACGTTTGGAAGGCCACCGTCGGGAGTTGGTGTCAAACAAATCTGCCAAAGATGTTTTAGTTTAGTTTTAATTTTGCTTATTCTTCTATAAGCAAAGAATATTCTTCTGTTTGTCTGTCTGTTTGTCTGTCTATTTGTCCCCCCATCCATTCATCCATCATCCCCCCACCCATCCATCCATTTATTCATCCATCCCCCCACCCATCCATCCATTTATTCATCCATCCCCCCACCCATCCATCCATTTATTCATCCATCCATCCAACCATTTATCCATCCACCCACCCATCCATTCATTTATTCATCCATCCCCCCACCCATCCATCCATTTATTCATCCATCCCCCCACCCATCCATCCATTTTAATAATGCCATCTTTTAGGTGAGTCCCAAATAAAATCAGGTGTGAAACACAGGCATCTACCTTCTGTTGTTTGACTTTCTGCTTCAGCGAGATGAGATTAATCATCTGGAAGCTACAATTAAAACAAGATACTTTCAAAACTAGCAGAGCATGTTCATTTATTTTCATATTGCGACAACAATCTGTACTGGACCTAACGATGTCCACGTCTTAAGTACGGTGTCTGCGGTATTTAAAAAGAAAAAGAAAAACCTCAAAAAACTTACATCAAGCTTTGAAGCTATGTGAGGGTGTGAATCCTGTTCAGTCATGGTGCAAAACAGAGCAGATGGAGAACAGATCAGCGTGGTGTCCATTGGATGATTGATTAATATTCACGCTGAGTAATAGTGGGCCGTGCTTTTACACACACCGTGGCACAAAGCTCTCGAGTTCAGTAGGTCTAAGAAAAACAAAATCATGCTTTTGTTGGGTTCTTTTTCACCAGTCAAAAAACACAATTTCATCATGTGAAACAACAAAATGTTTACAGCAAAGACACCAAAAACTCCAGTCAGATGCTCATTCAGTCCTTTGCTGTGCCTTTCATTAGTTTCATAAATAGACAAATTTGAGTTTGCGCTGTGGTGCCAAGTCTCGTCCCTTTTTTTCCAGTCCATTATTCTGACTTATTATTTATTCATTTCATTTATTTACTTTGGCAGATACAATACCAGGGAAATGTCACCACAGTAATCCGGTGCAATGCATCATTGTGTTTGTAGCAGCAGCTAATTTCCCACTCCTGTCCCCAGATGGGTCTTTAAACACCAAACACAAATAAGGAAGAAAAAAACAAAATTAAACAGCACAAATCCTGTCTTCATTAGACTGTTTTTTTCCCAGTGTTGTTTTTCCTCCTCAGCGTGGTCAGAAAACATGATTTGATCTGACATTGGCCAATGAAACAAAGACTGAGATGTAAAACGACAGGATCATTTAAACTCACGTTGACACTTTGCTAACAAGCAAAATGAAAACATGAAAACATGAAGACAATGATTGGCTCATGTGTCACATGTCCAACGTGCTTTATCAGTGTGTCATTCATCATTTCTCTGACTCCCTTCAGCCATCGATCTGAAGAATGGCAGTGGTTCTCTGCACCAAGGTCCTTACAGTGGCAAAGCAGACGTCACCATCACAGTGTCTGATGAGGACTTCATGGAGGTGGTGAAGGGAACACTCAGGCCACAACAGGTGATGTTCCTGTTCAGTTAACACCTGTACATACATATATAAAGAAGAGAATATATATGTATGTGTATGTACAATGTTGGTGTATCTTTTTTACATGTCCAAATATGAATTTAAGCTATAGGCTTCTTATACCATCTCTTTCTCTCTCTCTCTCTCTCTCTCTCTCTCTCTCATTCTCTCTGTCCCTCGCCCAGCGGAGGGGGCGGCAGGGGGGAAGTGAGAGATTTTTTTTTTTTACTGGAAAGAAGTAATGAAGTGTTCATGTGTTGTTTCTCACAGGCCTTTTTCTCAGGTAAGTTGAAGGTGAGAGGGAACATCATGCTGAGTCAGAAGCTAGAGGTCATTCTGAAGGACTATGCAAAGCTGTAGGAGACCTGGAGCAGCAGTCTGTCCAATCACCTGACTTCAGGGCGTGACCAATGGTCCACTTACGTTCTCCATCTGACCACTTACGACGTTTTTCCTTTTGACAGAAATACAAAACTAACTTAGAGGTGACGACCTGTGAAATAATAAATGTCATCTCAAGTACAGCTGTAGTAATCATCTAAGTCTCACTGTAAATTATTTTGAGTTGAGCCTGTGCTTCATTAATGACGCTTCATTATACCTGCCTATAATGTTTTTATAATCTACTCCAATCTTTTCATAATCAGATCAGATTATAGTAAAGACGTATCCCTGATCGTACCGTATTTTCCGCACTATAGGGCGCACTTAAAACCCTTTAATGTTCTCCAAAATTGACAGTGCGCCTTATAACCCGCTGCGCCTTATGTATTACTTCCGGTTGTGCTTACTGAGCTCGAACCGATTTCTTAAAGCCAAACCACACAGCGCATCACACATGATGGCACACAACTGAAGCACACTGGGAGCCAACAATGACGTTTAACTCTTTTAATTAACAATTAGAAGAAGATCAACAACAATTGTGTTTTTGTGTTGTCGATGTATGGTGCGATGCAGGACGACTCAGACGCACGGCTGTTGATTTCGACATATCTCTGTCTATATTTATCTGTGACTCCATGCGTGCCCATCTCACCGATATTGTCAAAACCCAAGTGAAACAAACTAATTCGGGACTTGCCATCATTCCGGGTGGATTAACCACTGAATTCCAACCGCTAAATATTGGTGTTAACACGGCGTTTAAAGTTAAAGTGTAGGAGCACTGGATGACAGAAGGCGAACACACATTCACCAAGACAGGGAGGCAACGCCGGGTGAGTTACGCTACTGTCTGCTAATGGATCGTGGATGTCTGGGCTAAGGTATCAGATTCAAATGTTGTTCGAGCTTTCACGAAGGCCAGAATCATCACTGAACAACTAATTAACAACAACGAGACTGACTCGGATATTGACGAGAGTGATCCAGACATGCTTGATTGACTGTTTTGTTTTGCTTAATGGGCCTTATAATGCCTTATGGTCAGAAAAATACAGTAAATTAGCAACATCCTGAGACTGTTTACTTAGAATTACTGACGAATGTCGGTGTAGAATCATACTGTGGTGTTCATCATCATGATGTCTTCAGATGATGTCATTTCGATTAGATCTGTATAACACTTCTAAATATTTTCTGAAAATAAATTAATAAAGATCTCTTAATAAAGTTGCTCTTTTTGTTTCGATTCTTAAAGCATTATAAATGTTTATTTAATCATGGTTGACAGATTAATTGTTGTTGACCCTGAAATTTAAGCATAAATAAACACATTGCTAAATGCTTGGAGGCAAATTTGTGCATTTTTTATTCTGGGTTTTTTTTTGTTTTTTGTATTTTTTCAATTATTTAGTATAATAAAATAATATTGATCAATGTCTTACGCAATAAAAAGTAAATTATTTTTCAATTATTAAGCATTAAATATTTTCAGTTAAATTGGTGCTTTCTGAAGCTTTTTCAGGAATTTAATGGTATAGTATTTTTTTGTGATCAAAAGTTGGAGTATCAAAAAAGTACATTTTTTCCCAATTTTAACCAAAAAAAAAACAACGAAACCAAATGGACATAGCTAAGTATATTATTGTGATCAAAAGTTGGTGTACCAAAATAGTATATTTTTCCTGAATTTTAATCACAAAAATGGACATAGCTAAGTATTTTAAGGCAAATGAGAGTATTTTTAGTCATTTTTGAGAAACTAATTTTTGAAGACTTTTTCAGGAGCTGATTTGATAAAGAGCTTTAATTCTGGACATAGTGTTTGTTTTTCTGTCAACTAATCACTCGTAGCTTCACTCTGCTCTATTAATGTTGTGACTTGCTTTTATTTATTTATTTTTTAATCATTTACTGTAAGTAAACATCAGCGTTGACAGTTGAGTGTGCTCATTTTTTTAACCCTTGTGCGATCATTCGGGTCTAGGTGACCCGATGGTCACCTAGACCCAATATGTCTTTGTGTCTGTGTGTGTATATGTTCTTAATAATCACTGGAAGGACAAACGGTGTGCACAAAAATGCGAAGGACACAAGTAACACAAAAACCAATGTCGTCATTAACGTAGATATTTTTATTACATTAATAAATTTTCTGTATATAATACATTGATTTACACATTGTCTTCATTATAAAATTAGAATGTTCTAATTTATTTCACATTTCCACTGGAGGGATGGAACGATGGAATGATGACTTGCCACTTGTAAAAACACAAAATTAAACATTAGCCGACTAAAAAAACCAACATTTCTTCTTACCGCTTTTATTGGAGCAAAGATCTTTAGAATTAATCTGATTAAATGCATTGTATTCTCGAGTTTTGCTGAAGCTTGTTTTTTTTCAAACTTTGAAGAAGTCAGAAAAAAAACAATGAATCTAAAAAAAAACCTTCTATAAGCACAGATATCATAAATAGACTTTTATTTATATAGAATTATATTCTTGATAAAGTGGCTTTTGTCACTGCTGCTCATCTACAGCTAGTTGCTACAACTACGTTAGTCCTATTTTATAATATAAACCACTGCCACACATTCACTTCATCTCTATTTGTTTCTTCCACCTGGAATCACAACTGAAAGCTGTTTGTATTGGCCAGCAGCAGGGAATTGTGGGTAATCAGCTCCATGTATTAAACTGACACACACCACCGCCATCACCTCACACTTGGTTTTAATCCTGATCTTTGTAACCGTCGATGACACTTGCTGTCGGAAACCAGATACAACTGAATTAAAAAAAAAAAAAAAGAAAAGCCGAAGGATAAAGAATGTGATGTTAAAGTCATGAAGTGGAACAGAGAAACTAGTTTTGGGTCTGATTAACGAAAATCATTATTTTAATTAGTTTTTAAGTCATTATCTCATTAACCAGTGGCTCCCAATATTTGAGCCTAAGCACTCATTTTACAATAAGAAATCCGACCACACACTCTGTGTGCATATCTATATGTGATGAAATACAATGATCTTCTCAATTTAATTACTGGGTGAGAAACCTGGGCCTGTTACGTTGAACAGAACATCGACATAATTGCAGGAATTCATAAAGGGACACACAAAAAGATCTTTGTTTCTCCTGTCACTATTGCCTAGATCAGTCATTCCCAACCCCTGTGCCGTGACACACTGTGCCACACAGTGTGCCGTCGAAAATGATCTAATTTCACTTAATTGAAAACTATTACTTATTCATTGCATATAATTTATCTTTATAATATATAATATTATATATATTACATATATAACATATAATAATACTCTTCTGCTAGGTGGCAGCAGATGGCTATGAAAACTTAAAAAACGCTACTCAGAGCTGTGTCTTTCTGCGAGTGTCTTTCTTCAATTCCTCCCAGTATATCAGCATTGTCGTCAACTAAACAGGCCGAGATTTCAGTCAATGATGAGGTCATTTGAACCAGAAGATTATTATATTTCATTACATATGCTTTTTATGAGATTGTTGTTTGGTGGTGTGTGGCGTGGGGTTTAGCCTGGTGATATATATATGTGCCGTGGCTCAAATGAGGTTGGGAATCACTGCCCTAGATCCATCCATCCATCCATCCATTTTCATCTGCTTATCTGTTACCGGGTCGCAGGGGCAGCAGTCGCCACCCAAATCACATTACACCGTACCAACCCCCCAAACCTTCCTGCGGGTGGTGAGTCCACTGGAAGGTATTGGTATTAACTGCCCTAACCGGGATTCGAACTTGCCCAGGAGGTGAACCCTGGGGTTCCACAACAATGACAGAGACATTGCCTCTGGGCCAAAGCACCACACTGTCCTAGATAAATAAATAAATGTTTTTGAAACCAACAGTACACGTGATGATCCTTCAAGCCACACAAATGTGCTGTGGCACAGGGGTCAAGAACCACTGTTCTGGGAGACGTTTCACCTCCTCCTCCAAGAGGCTTCTTCAGTTCTGACTAACTGCTGGAAAATGATGGTCTTTAGTCTCAGAGTGGCTGCAGGGGTGTGTCTTCAACTGAAGAGGATTCTTTTGTGAAAACTAGGATCTGAACACCTTTGGCTTAGACAAATATTTAGAACAGCAGTTCTCAAACAATGGTATGTGTACCTCCTGTTGCAATAAGGCTCTCTCTAATGGTGAGGGTGAGTTAGTATTAAATTCAAGCATTTATTATCCGTTTCTTTGTTTGTTTTTTTTTCTTTTCTTTTTTTTTTTTAGAATTGAAAATGTGTTTTGCTTAATTTTTCTTAGACACCAATCTCCCCCCAACCCCTTTTCTGGTGACTATTATTTCCACAGCAATTACTTCCTCATGTCGTCAGAATTTAACACTTGAAAAAAAAAGTGCTCATATTTTAACCTTCAGGCATCAGAAAAAACCTCTTATCACTTGAATTACAAATGAATGAAGGGTCAGATAGTCGGGCATTAACTGGGCATTATGCACAGCAAACACTGATAAATATTGACGGTGTTTTTTTTTTCTTCATCAAGTGTGAGGGGAATTTGACAAGTAGGATTTGGAGAATGTTGCCAAAACAAAACCTGATAAATATAATAAACACCAGCAAAGATTTAATACAGAAATGTCAAGAGACTTAACTGACAACTGTTATCTGCATAACAATGCATCAGAGAGAAAGAGAAAGAGAGAGAGAGAGAGAGAGAGAGAGGCTCTGTCATAATCTGGGGCTGCAATTCAGCCTGTAAATGTTGAAATTTGGAGAGAATAAATAAGAAAACATCTAAGGAAATGTGTTTTCATGTTCTCCACTGAGTTCAGCAACAATGATATAAAACCTAATCATTAAAACAACTTCTCTCTCAGACTTCAATACAATCACAATGGCTGCTAACGTCATGCGATACAGAAATCGCATGAGCTCAATCTACACGTCACCCAGTTTTAAAATCCTGGGTGTGACTACAGAACTGTGGAAGCCTGGAGGACCAACGGACGGAGGTGCAACATCTTCAACTAATCGTTTAAATAAATGATGAACTCAGACCTCGATGAATATACGGACAGTCTGCATGAAAAGATCTGAAGTTGTAGTTAATAATATACTTAAGAAGATATAATATATTGTTCATAACCCTATATATAAGTTGTGTTTTGAGGAGGACTAACGCCACGACTAACATCTCTCATGAACATCAGCCAGAGTTCTTTAAGATTAAGGACACTTACTGTAATTAGTAATTATGTTCTTTACACCGCTGATTAAATTTAAATACTACTATACATACTATATTTATATAAATATATATGCATACACATATAAATATATTTAAATATAAGTATTTAAATATATATATATATATAGACAGAGAGAGAGAGACAGACAGAGAGAGAGAGACTCAAATATACATATATGTGTAAGTGCATATAAATATATTTGCATAAATACATATATACACATATGTATATTCAGGTGTTTTTAGATATATATATATAGATTTTTAAATATATTTCTACTGCTTTATACTGACAAGGCTAAGCGATTTTTGTTAATACATAACTATGTGGCTGAGCCTTAACACAAGTCATATTCTGAGCTTGATGGTTGAGTGCAAAAAAAAAAACAAAACAACCACAAGTTAGAAAAACACTGGGCAGAATAACAGTTTTACATCTATATATATATATTCTTGTTTCTCAGTTTGTGTTAAAAGAGGTGAAAGGTCGAGTGCATGTGTTTAAATAAAACCAGCCTAAGGCAGCAGCAGTTTCATTTCTCTTTGCTGGGTTATTTACTTAATTCAGTTTGAGGGAAATTTAATTTCGTAATTTGAACGACATGCTTGAGACAAACCTGTTGTATGTTCAGTCAATCCAACAACAGAAAGTCCAGAAAGGTTATTTTTTTAAAAGATTTGGAAAATGTAACGCAAACATTTGGTCAATGTAGAGCCCTCACAGCATGACAAGAATCATCTGTACAAAACATAACGTTCCAGCAATACATCTCCCGAGGGGAAAGAGGGGGGAGGTGGATGGCAAAGTAATTAAAAAAAAAGTTGTTTGTATAATAAGATGTAAAACAAGGTTTGGATGTTCCATTTAATTAAGCTACAAAAACAGATAAAATTAGCAGTAAACTTAAGAGGGGCTGGAAAGCAGGTTTTATTACTACGGAGCTGAGCCTGGAGCCTCGTCTCCACCTGTTTTCAGTCTATTCTAAGCTGGAGGACACGACGTAGATTGACCTACGTCAGTCAGGAAATAAGATGATTCTCCAGGATATGAGGAGGCATGAAGCTAAATGTTTCTACTTTGAAGGAAATAATTTAATCATTTTTACCAAGCAGTAGAAATAAAACATCAGAATGAAAATTAAAAAGGAAAAAAAAAAAAGGTGAGAAAATGTTCTGTCATTCCTCTAAGGTTTTCATTCCAACACCTATTTGTCTGACTTAACAGAAACACTGGAGTCCTGTTTATTAAAACCAAAACAAAACTGGACCTACTGTGCTTGGCTGGATTGTCCACTGATTATGACGGCATTGTGCTGAGGTCCTGGTTCGGCAGTGAAGTAACTGAGCGTCCTGAAGGGACTGTCACTCATCTTTACGATGCACTGTGCACCAGCGATTCACTGGTATAAATAATAAAAAGTCCCACAGCGCTGCAGCTCTTCTACTTCTTACCTGACTCACTCTTTCTACAGCCTCCTGTGCAAAAACAGATCTCCATGTGCAGATCAGTATCAACTGAGATCATGTCAGGTCCTTCTGGAGAATCTCCAGCTCCAGTTCTGATTATCTGTGCCCTCAGTTTTTACCCTGTGTGTTTAACCTCCACAACTGTGTTATTAGTCGTGTTTTGTCGCTAACTTTGGCTCCACGTTGGACAAAAAATGTATTCAAATTTCCTGGATCTCGCTCCCCCTTTGGGAAAGTCTGTGAATCCTGTAAATATTTCTTCATTAAAAAGTATTGTAACACTTTGGATCAGTGGTCTGTCGTAGCTCGTTGCAGTGTCAAGTCACTGTTCAAAAATCATAAGACGACCTTTGGTTGCTTTAACTTCATATTTTTTCTGACTAAATGAAGAATTTAACGTCATTCTGGAGGTTTCCGTTCTGGTTGTTGTTGTTGTTGTTGTTGTTGTTGTTGTTGTTGTTGATGACACTGAAGCGGTTGGGTAGAACCCTCATCTTCAAGGTTCCGTCCGCACCGCAGGAGAATAAGTGATTAGCCGGTCCCACCTCTATCTGCATGACTCCCGTACCCAGGTTCCTGAAGAGTGACTGACGGGCGTGTTCGTTTGCAAAGGAGAAGAGGAGAGTCTGTGTGTCCAGACTCCAAACCTGTGAGTCAGGAGAAGACATGATAAAAAAACTTTAATGATAAAAAAAAAAATAAAATCTGGGGAAAAGCCTGCAGACATTTGGATAAAGAAAAACTTTTACCGGTTACAGCTGTTAAAATATTCAGATTTATTCTTTCTTTTATTTTGGTATTTTTTTGCGATATAGACAATTTTACTTAATTTTACTAAATAGTTGTTTCACTGTAGTGTATAATCTGTTAAAATACAGACTTGAGCTTTATCTTTTAAGTTTATTGTTTTGGGGTTAGGGCTGCTGCATATACATACATACATACATATATATACATATATACATATATATATATATATATATATATATATATATATATATATATATATATATATATATATATATATATATATATATATATATATATATATATATATATATATATATATATATATATATATATATATATATATATATATATATATATATATATACATACATATATATATATACACATACATACATACATATATATATACACATACATACATACA